TTTTCTTTCATCTCTCACTTTTTCTTTCTTTTTTCTTTTTTTTATTTATTTCTTTCTTCCTTTCTTTCTCTTTCTCTCTGTGTGAGTCTGTGTGTGTGTGTGTCAGTGGTGGGTTTCAAAAAATTTTGGAACCTCTTCTGTAGGTGCGGCCTGCTTTCTGGTGGAACCTCTTGTAACCGGTTCAGTAGATTTGACGAACCGGTACTACCGAACTGGTGCGAACTGGTAGGAACCCACCTCTTCATTGCATGCATTGTCAGTGTAACCAGTGATTAGAAACTTTTGGGAAAGAGATTGCTATTTCACTATCTTCTTCATTTTCTAAGAACTGTGAGCCTTCAGTACCGTATTTCATTCTAAGTCATAGCCAGGTTGCAAATCACCCTTTCAAAAACAATTTTTTAAAAAAAAAAACCTATTGGTCAGGGGGAAGTTTACCTTTAAACAGCCAGTATGTATGTCCTTCTTTTGTACAATTTGATTTCAGAAAAGATAAAATATTTTGAGCAATATCTTTTATTACTTTAGTAGAGAAATTGGACTTCTCCAAATTGGGTATATCTTCTGTCTTAATCATTTCATATTTCTACAACAAAAATGGAACAATTTTTGGAACTGAAAAAAAAATACTATTTGGATTATTCATTGCAAAAGTTTCATTATACAGGTAGTCCTCATTTAGCAAATGTTTGAAGCTATGGTGGATGCCCCCAAAGCTACTGACAACTTGGTCTTGAAGTTAAGGCCACTGCAGTGTCCCTGTATAGCGGCGGGTATGGCTTGGGGAGTCTCAGGAGGTGTGGTAGATCTTGGGAGGCCCAGGACAGGCAGGGCCTCTCCATCGAGGAACTCTATACTCCATTTAATGACCTGTGGGTTTGTTTAATGGCTGCATCAGGAAGAGCAGAGGGTGAGGATTGTTAAGCAAGGCAGTCTAGCTTAATGCCTTTCACCACTTGCAATTATAATGGGCAGGCTCCACTAGGATTATCCATAAAGCTGAAAAGCTTGCATAACCTTTTGTGATATATTCTATGTATAATATAGAACTGACAGTTATTAACATGCATAAATGTAAGTTCGTGTGTACAGACAGTACAGTACTGCTTACAAATTAAACATGCTTAAAAAGAAATTCACAATGAAGTCTTAGATGGCTGCTATCAGCTTGCTATAGCAACCTTCCTTGAATGGATGCCTTTCATTTTCAACTAGTGTGCTCTTCAGTAATCAGCTAAGCTAGATAGGAACTTCAACGGTTACATCAGGATATATATATATATATATATATATATATATA